GGCCTTCCAGTCTGCTCTTTTTTTTTATTATCTCTAGGCCTAGAGGAAAGTAGATTTGTTAAGAACTCTTCACTATTTCACACCATATAGACCTGAGTGCTTCAGGCAGGCTACAGGATTGGGTTCCTTCCTGGAGATCTTTTAGATCTGTTAACTGTTTCATTGCAGGTTTGCCCAGCACACGGTAGATCCTTTATTTTGGTCTTTTTTAATGTTCTGCCTTTGAGAGTATTGGATAAGAGATTTCATTAAATACCATTTAATAGGAGAAATTGTCCTGTGGGCAGAATGAACTTCAGATGTTAGTACACTTATTTCTTCATGTCCCTTTCTACAAGAAAGATATATCTATACTATTCATGCGGGTATATCTAACTATAGATAACTCTTAACAGATAATCAGAGTTGGAAGGGATCTTATAGGTGATCTAATCCAACCCTCCACCCAAGCTGGAGACCCGACACCATTTCTGACAAATGGCAGTCCAATCTCTTCTTGAAAGTCTCAATTGATGGCACTCCCACAACTTCCGAGGGCAACTTCTGTTCCATTGGTTGATTGTTCTCACTGTCAGAAAGTTTCTCCTTATTTCCAGGTCTCTCCTTGTTCAGTTTCCATTCATTATCCCTTGTCTGACCTACAGGCACTTTGGAGAATAGCCTGACCACCTTCTCTCTGTGGCAGCCCCTCAAATATTGGAAGACTGCTATCATGTCTTCCCTGGTCCTTCTCTTCACTAGACTAGCCAAACCCAGTTCCTGTAACCATTCTTTATATGTTTTAGTCTCCAGTCCCCTAATCATCCTGTTTGCTCTTCTTTGTACTTTTTCTAGAGTCTCAACATCTTTTTTATAATGTAGTGAGCAAAACTGGATGCAGTACTCTAGGTATGGTCTTACTATTTATATCACTTCCTCCTAAAAATTAGGCTTTCAACAAGAGACAGCTAGTTTGTTTTCTTGTGTGTCCAATCACACTTGGCCAATAAAGAATTCTAATTCTAATTCTAATATGTTCTCTGCCTTGAGTTATTTATAAAAATAATAAAGATGGGATACAAATAAATAAATTTAAAATAAATAAATAAAAATGTAGGCAACGGTCAAAGTTTAGGGGTTGGGGGGATTTCATGAATGGGGTGCCACCAAAGCTCTCTCTCCCTTCTAGAAGCTAATCTGTATTTCTTTGGGTAGGGAACCTGGAAGGAGGCCTATAATTTAAGTATAAATAATTCGCTTCATATCTATTCTCATTTGCTTGGTCTTTTGTACTGTATCTTCTGCTTAATGAGATGCTATTGCTTTATATGCAATGTTCATTTTACCAATCAAAGCATTTCATATTGTTGGGTGGGGAAGTACGTGTAATTATACTTCAATGATACCTAAACTGACAACATTTTAAGTAATTTTTCTACCTATTCATGAATTTTAAAAGAGCAAGAGAATAAAACTATTCTCTTCAATTGTTCCACATTTTTATTTTATTTTAGAGAGAGTTATTCTGAAGGAGAATAAATTCCAGTTTTCTCAAAACAATTGTATAATATAAAATAACAAGAAAGAATTTAATGCCTGAAGCAGCAGCAGCTTCTTGGGAATAATGCATATAGGAATGATTAAAAAAGAAGCTAATATTCCTTCCTGTCACTCTTCCTCTGTCCCATACAATTAAGCTCTATAAAGAATGTTATTGTTGCTTGAATCCTACAGTTGAAGGCAGGTATAAAATATTTGATGTTTGATAAGTCAAACATCTTCACAAAATAGCTCTCAGAAAAGATTTAAATATATACAAATCTAAAATATCAAATTGTAATTAGTATAAAATCCAATAACAAAAATTGTAGAATTAAAATTATATTATTTCTAGTACAACAATACAACTAGCTGTAAGATTTAAAAGTATTTAAATATTTAATATCAAGAATTTTTTTTTTTTAAATTCTACTATAAAAAGACTTATGAATTGTATTTTTGGACAGGGAATTCCATCTAACATTGTTTGCATAAAGTAGAGACTATATAATTATATGTATTTATTCTAAATCCTACATGCATTTCTATTCAATTTTTAATTGGTTTTGATGCTTAGTAACCTATATTATAATTGTAAAATTAATAAACATATTGCTAGTTATATTAATGTTATTCCAAGCCATAATGTGTAATTCAGTTTGTATGAGAAAAACGTCCATCACCCTATTGAATATTGAAATCAAATAGTGTCCACAAGAACAGCCTTCTCCAGCTAGGTATGTTATGATTGCAAAAGCAAAATCCATACTTGGATTCTAGAACATCCAGAAGACATTAGGATGGAGAAGTCAGAATGAGGAATAATACAAAGTAGTAATTCATATTTATTATTTAGAGTTAACATTTCCTTCCTTTTAGAAATCTTTATTTTTCTTTCAGTTTCTCATAGCTCTCTTCTGATGAAGGGTTGGTTGGTAGAAATTTCATTGTGATCCATTAATTTAAAATGGTCTGTTAAAAATTTCACATTATTGATTTCAAGTTGTGATTTCAGCTTCAGAGAAATGAATGGTTCCATTGAGGTTTATATGAGTGATAGTTCAAAAAATGTTCCTCCAGCCATTGTTATTCCCCTTGCATGTTTGAACTTCTAGCAAGTAGGAGGAAAAGAAGAAGAAATAATCTCAGATTGGATTTTGAGAGTCAACAGCTAATCTTACCAGTGCCTGAAACAAATAATTGGCAAAATATCTTCACTTTTGAGGGCAAGTTATAAAGAATAAAATCGGCATTTCAGATCTTAAAATGCTGGTGGAATTTTGATTCATTAAAACAAGTGACTCAAAAGTAAAACCACGAATGGATTCCATGTTAGATTCTGCCTTTCTACCCTAAATATTTTAAAATACTTTAGGCCATTTGAAGTCAGAATAGGAGAGAAGAAAGTGTGAAAATATGACTTCATCCCACTATAACATTAGAAATACCATCTCTGGGTTGCAAATTTGAACAACCACTGTACCCTAGCAGAGAGATAGGGTGTTGGTACTTGCCTGATACGCCCGTTCTCTGTGAGCTGTGAAGAGCATCCAGAAGTGGGAGGTGCTTCAGTCTCTTCTGGAAAGGCTGGGCTTAAAACTCCGGGACGCTCCTCCTCCTCCACAGGACACCTCCTCAGCGTCTCCCAGTTTTGCGAAGACTGAGTGCCAAAGTCCGGGACTCATCACCTAATTTAGATCCCTGACTGGAACAGAACCCCACCAGACGGAAAGAAATGGGTGGGGCTGGATGCTCTTCACAGCTCACAGAGAACGGACGTATCAGGTATGTACCAATGCCCTTTCTCCCATGAGCTGTTCAGAGTATCCAGAAGTAGGACATACCAAAGCTTGGCCTGTCCTTAGGGAGGGACTCCGTCTGGATCGAAATCCACTCCTAAACTCTATGGACCCTTTGCAGGACTCTTCTGCCAAATGAAGCATCCGCTGAGGCATAGACATCAATTTTATAATTTCTGACAAAGGGCGATGGTGAAGCCCAAGTTGCTGCTCTGCAGATTTCATCTATGGAAGCCCGAGTGGCCCATGCTGCTGATGTTGATGTCAGTATGTGCTCCTTTCAAAATCCAAGAAAGAAATACTCAGAC